TCTTATCAGGGGAAGGCCTCTGCCTCTCTGCCCTGTTGCTGGCCCTCCAGAGGAACTGGCTGGCCCCTGTGTGAGACGGGATGCTGGACTAGACGGACCCTCACTGGTCTGACCCAGCAGGGCTCTTCTGATGCTCTTATGAGGGGAAGGCCTCAGCCTCTCTGCCCTGTTGCTGGCCCTACAGAGAAACTGGCTGGCCCCTGTGTGAGACGGGATGCTGGACTAGAGGGACCCTCCCTGGTCTGATCCAGCAGGGCTCTTCTGGTGTTCTTATCAGGGGAAGGCCTCTGCCTCTCTGCCCTGTTGCTGGCCCTCCAGAGGAACTGGCTGGCCACTGCGTGAGACGGGATGCTGGACTAGACGGACCCTCACTGGTCTGACCCAGCAGGGCTCTTCTGATGCTCTTATGAGGGGAAGGCCTCAGCCTCTCTGCCCTGTTGCTGGCCCTACAGAGGAACTGGCTGGCCACTGTGTTAGACAGGATGCTGGACTAGAGGGACCCTCCCTGGTCTGATCCAGCAGGGCTCTTCTGAGGTTCTTCTCAGGGGAAGGCCTCGGCCTCTCTGCCCTGTTGTTGGCCCTCCAGAGGAACTGGCCGGCCCCTGTGTGAGACAGGATGCTGGACTAGAGGGACCCTCACTGGTCTGACCCAGCAGGGCTCTTCTGATGCTCTTATCAGGGGAAGGCCTCGGCCTCTCTGCCCTGTTGCTGGCCCTCCAGAGGAACTGGTTAGCCACTGTGTGAGTCAGGATGCTGGACTAGATGGTCCACTGGTCTGGTCTAGCAGGGCTCTTCTTGCGTTCTTATCAATAAATAGATCAGGTTCTGGACTTGGAGTAACTGAGCCTCTGCAAGTAACTTTAGAAACAGGAGGCTGGATTCTGACTCCGTTCCACCGGCAGAACCCCTCTTATCTTCAGGGACGTTGCTTCTGCCGGAGGAAAGCACCTCTGCCTGTGGAACGGATCCCCGCGATCCAGTCTGTGCGTGACCTCAAGTTCCAGTGGGGAAAATCCGGCTTCCTCAAGCATCCTTCTCTCCTTCAGGAGTCCTTCTGGGAGAATCCCGGGCGCCGCTGGCTGGACAGTTTCCTGTGGGAGCCCGGCACGGACTCCCAGGACGAGAAACCCTTCGTCGACACGTTCCGCTTCATACACCCCCGGCAGGAGGATGCCTACACCTGTTGGTGCAACCTGACGGGCGCCCGGCAGACCAACTACGGCACCCGCATCGACTACATCCTGGCCGATCGCGCTCTGGCGCTGTCCGAGTTGAAGGACGCCCGGATCATGCCGGAAGTCCTGGGCTCGGACCACTGCCCCGTCCAGGCGCAGCTGAGAGCCCACTTTGTGGCCGCCCCCGTCTGCCCGCCGCTCTGCACCCGCTTTCTGCCTGAATTTGCCGGCACCCAGCAGAAGCTCAGCCGCTTCCTGGTGAAGGTGGAGCAGACCAGCCTGCCGGACGGCCCCCCGAAACGGAGTGGGACTGAGCTGAGCCTGCGGGGGGATCCTAAAAAGAGACGGACCGGCCCCCTGAAGAAGGGACAAGGGGATTTGCGCAGCTTCTTCCGAGCCAGTAGTAACAGCGCAGCTGGGGTATCCGATCTGGGCAGGTGCCCTTCAGGATTGAGCGTAATTCAGAAGGGAGCAGAGGATTCTGGGAAAGCGACTCCTGTTGATGCCGCTAAAAGGACGGGCGAGGGGTTGGCGGTGGGAAAAGCCGTTCGCGTACCACGGGAGACCGCGGCGAGCTTGAGAGAGGAACCCGCCGTGGATGTGAGCAGCGAGGAAACGAAGAACTGTGGGGACAATCCCGCTCCCTCCGGACCCGACCAGTCGGCTGCCCTGTGGAGATCCCTGTTGCCGGGCCCCGCTCGCCCACCCCACTGCAAGGCCCACGGGGAGCCCTGTGTTTTGCGGACGGTGAAGAAGCAAGGGCCGAACTGTGGGCGGCGTTTCTACGTCTGCGCCCGGCCTCTGGGGAAGCCCTCCGATCCCCGTGCGCGCTGCGACTTCTTCCTCTGGGCCCCTCGGGGGAATCGGTAGATTAGGGGCCAGTGGACCCGAGAGGACACTGGTCTTGGTGGACTCCAGCAGGAAAAGGAAGAATGTCACCTCGAATGCGTGGGACCAGGGCTTGTTCATCTCTTAGTAGGGGAGGCACCCGGGAGGGCACACTGGGGCCAAGGCTCGGGGCCGAGTGCTCTAGCTTGGAATTGGTGTGACGCTCCTTGAGATGCACATAGAGAAACTCGCCACTCGTATCCCAAGGGGTTGGACCCACCTTAAATTCCATGCAAGTTCTGAAGGCTTCGATGGGAGACCTAGGCAAGGACTACTCTTTCAGCTTCAGGAATCTCCCGTCTTGTCATAGATCTTGATGTTAAGGTTTTGTGGAAACCTTGGGATTTATGTGCGGGCCACCCTAGCTGGTTGTAAACAAGTAACTCAGGGTGGTCAGGGCCTCTCCTGTGCCCATTGAAGGGTGCTGAATGTGGGTGTTCGTCCGCGTTCTCTTCTGTTGCTCATGTGTCCCTGTTTCATTTTGTCTTTTCTACACGTTTTGCTCCCTCTAGTGGACGATTCGATATTACATCTGTGTATGTCCGTCATATCGACCTGCAGATCTAAACTGCAGGTTTTTATGCCGGACATACAACAGTGTAATATCAAATCAACCACTATAGGGGGAAGAACACATACGGAAAAGAAGAAAACGAAAGAATAGGGACACACAGACGACAAAAATGAGAATGTGGAAGAGCCCTGGGTCTGCTGGCCCCATCTGGTTTGGATGTAGGGCTCTTGAGCGCACTGGAACACATCTCTCTGATTTCCCGATACTTCTTTTAAACTGACCGTCTTTCCTAAGAGATGGCTCATCAGTACATTGGACTGTGCGTAATTGTTTCTTTGTTTAAGATGGGGAAAAAAATCTTTTTTTACTTTGGATAAAATAAACATTTGGAGGAAAAACAGAAAAGATTGCGCCTGAATGTTCCCTGTGTAGGCAGAATAAAGTAGCATTCGCTTATATGCTGTGAAAAGAAAAGTGTCTGGCTGAAGGTAGAGTTGAGACTCCCAGGGACACAATCCAAGAGTGCTAATCATTGGCAGTGCTGTTTCAGTGTTTCTGATGCTTCTGCAAGCAGCGTGGGGGATGTCAGCTAACACTACTGATGCTCAGGAGTTTTAACATGATTTGCTGGCTTCCCAAGGGTCTTCTTGGAGTCCAGGAATGATGCTACTTATATTCTTGGGAATAATGCATGAAAATAGTGACCCCCGTTGGCTGTTAGTAGGATTACAAGGAAACAGACGCTGCCTTTCTAAGCGACTTGGCTTAACAGCGCTCTCTGCTGGTCAGCAGTGGTATAACTAGTTCTGTGCGTTTTAGGATTCTTAGTGGAAAAACTAAAACGTTTCCACTTTCCCTTGCCCAACACCAAATATTGGTGACTTGGTCTTCTTGGTTTGTTGAGTACAGGTAAGGCCTTTTTTATGCACGCATTCTAATCGTCAACGTGCTCCCCCCCTTTAGTTTAGCAGGAATACTCACTACTCAGGCAGGGACGATGGCTTAGTGGTAGAGCCTCTGCTTTGCACGCAGAAGGTCCCAGGTTCAGTCCCCGGCGTCTCCACTTAAAAGGGTTCAGGGGGTAGGCGATGGGAAAAACCTCCGCCCGAGACCCTGGAGAGCCGCTACCAGTTGATAGACCAAGAGTCTGATTCAGTATAAGGCAGCTTCGTATGTTCAGTACTCTAGTAGTGTGGCAGCCAGGGCCACAGCTAGCATGGGGCCCACGGGGGCAACGCCCCCTCCCAAATTCACAATGCCCCTTCCCGAATCTGGCTGAGAGAAAGGCAGAGGTGGCAGGCCGAGCTCCCCCTCCTCTGCATTCCCAGATTCCCAGAGTGGCCTCCGCCGGCACAACATCAGCACAGCTGGAGGGAGAAGCCGGGATCAAAAAGGACCTCCCCTCCCCAACAGCCCCTATGGCTTGGGGACCCTTGAGGAGTGCTTGGCTGCTAAGAGAGCTGGAGAAGGCGAGGGGAGCCAAGCACACACACCCCGTTCCCCCTCCCCTTGCCCGCTGGTACACCCCCCATAGAGCCTTTGCTGGTTCGCTGGAGAGGGGAAGGGCAGGGAGCCTCTTTCTTGGGTCTGCAGCTCTGAAGGGGTTAAAGCGGACAAGCTGTTTGCTAGAGAGGCCGAATTGGGGGGGGGCAAGGAAGGAGGGGAGGTTTTGCCTCTTAGTGGGGAAGGAGAGCAGGGGGAGGGCTCTGGGGGTGCAGAAGTAGAGAAAAGCCCTGCAGCTGGATCCTGGGAAGGCTTACTCTTGAGTAAGTCATTTCAGTCGTTGCTCCTTTGGGGGAAAGGGCCTGGCTCCTTCGTTATGTGAAAACAGCCCTTAGGGAAGCTGCGGGGGGAATCACACAGTCTTAATTAAATCATCACTCAATGTGGCAGTAATCTAATTAGTGGTAATCTAATTAAGCCACTGCTGTGGGTCTGTGCCCCCCCCCCCGGAAACTCCCTAGCTATGGGGCTGGTGGCAGTCCTTCCTGTGGATGTGCTGGTAGGGCTGCCAAGCTGCGGCGGGGGATCCGTGTGTCTTCACAGGATCCCTGCCGCGGGGGACAGCGATACGTGTTGCACCGCCATCGCCAGGATGTGACGCTACGCGTCGCTCTGGCAATGCCAGAGCGACGTGTAGCGTCACATCCTGGCGACGGCGGTGCAACGCGTATCGCTGTCCCCCGCGGCAGGGATCCTGTGAAGACACATGGATCCCCCACCGCGGCTTGGCAGCCCTAGCTGGAAGGTTTTTGGTGTGTGTGTGGAGGGGCATGTCTAGTCTGGATGCTTCAAGATTAAGACGCCCAAGTGGCAACGGGAGCCACAGACCCAGTGGCTGAGCTTTATTGGGTTTGGGCACCAGCTTGGATTCACAACCGGCTCATCTCTTTCTTCCTCCTCGAGGTCGTCCCGGTCTGCCGCTCAGGCGGAAAGCGAGATGTACTGGGGCCCCATGTTGCCAAAGTAATCCTGCTCCCACTCGCTCATCAGGGCGAAGTGGACTGGGTGGTGGCAGAAGTTGCACTTGGGAGAGGCCAGGTCCTGCAGGGGGAGGCCCACCTCACGCCAGGCGGCCAGCAGCTTTTCTGCAAAGGAACGGGGGAGAGACGGCCGTTAGGAAGCCACTGGCAGGACCTGGCTACAGTATGAGACCCAGCGAGTTTCCATGGCAAAGGGGGGGTTTCGAATCTAGGTCTCTCAGATCCTAGTCTGACACTCTAACCCAGGAGTCCAAAAGAATGTCAGAGACGCCAATGTTGGATCAAGCCAAGGGCCCATCCAGTCCAACACTCTGGGTCACACAGTGGCCAAAAATACCAGGTGCCCTCAGGAGGTCCAGCAGTGGGGCCAGGACACCAGAAGCCCTCCCACTGTTGAACCCCCCCCCAGCACCAAGAATACAGAGCATCACCTGCCCCAGCCTGTGAGTTCCTATCTATACCTTGTGGCTAATAGCCACCGATGGACCTCTGCTCCATATGTTTATCTCATTCCCTCTTGAAGCTGTCCATGCTTGTAGCCACCACCACCTCCTGTGGCAGTGAATTCCATGTGTTAATCACTCTTTGGGTGAAGAAGGACTTCCCTTTATCTGTTCTAACCCGACTGCTCAGTAATTTCATTGAGTGCCCACGGGTTCTTGTATTGTGAGAAAGGGAGAAAAGTACTTCTTTCTCTACCTGCTCTGTCCCATGCATAATCTTATAAACCTCGATCATGTCACCCCTCAGCCGTCGTTTCTCCAAGCTAAAGAGCCCCAAGCGTTTTAACCTTTCTTCATAGGGAAAGTGTTCCAACCCCTTTTATAATTCTAGTTGCCCTTTTTTGCACTTTTTCCAATGCTGTAATATCCATTTTGAGGTGTCGTGACCAGAACTGTACACAGTACTCCAAATGAGGACGTACCATCGATTTATACAGGGGCATGATGATACCGGCTGATTTGTTTTCAGAAGAAGAAGAAGAGATTGGATTTATACCCCGCCCTTCACTTGGAGTCTCAGAGCGGCTTACAAGCTCCTCTCCCTTCCCCTCCCCACAACAGGCACCCTGTGAGGTGGGTGGGGCTGAGAGAACTCTGACACAAACTGCTCTTTTTCAAGGACAGCTGTGCCAGAGCTTGTGACTGACCCAAGGTCACATCAGCTGGTGCAAGTGGAGGAGTGGGGAATCAAACCCGGTTCTCCCAGATTAGAGTCCGCACACTTAACCACTACACCAAACTGGCTCTCAGATTAGAGTCCGCGCACTTAACCACTACACCAAACTGGGTTTTCAGTTCCTTTCCTAATAATCCCCAGCATAGCATTGGCCCTTTTTTATTGCAGTCACACACTGTCTCGACATTTTCAGTGAGTTATCTACTACGACTCCAAGATCTCTCTGTTGGCCAGTCCCAAACGTGGTGCCCACCAGCACCTTTCCTGGTGCCCCCCTTGTGCTTTTTTGGAAAGTGGGCAGGGCCAGGCGGGACTTTGGCCCAGCAGGGCTTCTGATTGGCTGTGCAGATTTTAAAGGCATCCTGTTAAACAGAGTGTCTGCCTGAAATGTTGAAGAGTTACTATTAGTCATACATATGCTCGACTATTAGTCATACACAACCTTAGAGCCAGTTTGTTGTAGTGGTTAAGAGCAGCGGACTCTGATCTGGAAAACCGGGTTCGATTCCCCACTTCCTACCAGCTGGGTGACCTTGGGCCAGTCACAGCACTCTCAGCCTAAAAATAGGCATAGCTCGCCACCTAGTGGTACCAAAAAACAGCTACAGCTTCAGCTGCCAAACAATCCCTTCTGAGATCTCCTGGCTATTCCACACACAATGCCATATGATAATTAATTAATCAATTACACATCCTGGCCAACGTATATGCCCAATCCGAGCTCTCCCGAACTGTGTGGCCCCGGGAAGGGGTGGGCGGGCCTCCCTGGGAGCGCTGAGGCCTGCTGGGAGCAGGGGGCGGGGTTTGGTCATGTGACCGCCCAGCCCCCTAGGCTGGTCACTCCCGGAGCAGGGCTCCGGAGAGCTCCGGCCCCATCCGACCCCTGCAATACATAATTTTGCTTCCTGACATTTTGTGTTTGGCTCCACCTCCTGCAGAGGCATTTTACAGTTGCTCCCAGCCCCTGTGTCAAAGGTGCTTACAGGCTCAAAAAAGGTTGGGTACCCTGGCTCTAACCACTACACCTTACTGCATTGGCATTTGTGCAAGCAGAACTAGAGATTACAGTTTCATTTCAGGTTACCCATAAACCTGGATTGAGTTGTGTGTGGGGGATGGGGGCTGTCACTGACTCACCCACAAAGTAGTTCATCATGGCGGGGGTGTGGTGAGGAGATGGTGCCAGTCGCAGCAGCTCCTCTCCCCGGGGCACAGTCGGGTAGTTGATGGCTTGGACGTAGATGTTGTGTTTGGACAGAAGCAAGTCGCAGAGGTGGGTGTTCAGGGCTGCGTTTCCAACCTGACAAGTAGAGAAGCACACACTGCTGTGAAAACAAAGCTACAAGTCATCCCCTCTCCTCTGTTCCTGTTGCTTGAAGTCTCAGGCCAAGTAAATACTGTTGCATCCTGTAGCACCTTAAAGACTAATAAAATGGGTGGCAGGGGACGAGCTTTCATGAGTCACTGCTCACGTTCAGATACAGCTAGAATGGGAGTCCATCTGTCCTACATATTGTAAATAAAGTTAAACATTGAAAAGCAGAGTGATTTCAGATGCCATGCACAAATGACAACAGGTGAATGACAATAGCAGGCATGATTGGATTAGGTGTGATGTGCAAAGGGGTAGTAGGCATGGAGAAATCAGCATTGGTAATGAGACAGGAAACCTAGGTCTCGATTTAGTCCAGGAGGATGCATTGTATTGAGCATCTTTTTTTGTTTTTGTTTTCTTTGTATTTTTTATACGTGTGCGTGTGAGTATGTGCACACCTGGAAGTCATAGTGATCTCTGGTGACTGACCCCTACTGGAGCATATTCAGAGAGGTGGTTGAATAATGCCTGCCGCTGCCTTCCACCTCTGGTATTCCAAGGAGGTCTCCCAACCAGGTACTTGCCAGAGTTGACCCTGCTTCTGAGATCTGACGAGATTGGACTTGCCTGGGGTATCCCAGGTCAGGGCATCTTGAGCTTCATTATCTGTTGCAATTCAGCAGCCTGTCTTTCTAATCTCCCTTTGAAATTCCTTTGTAAGAGAGCCGCTGCTCTTAGGTCAGCAGCTGAATGTCCTGGAAGATTAAAACGTTCCCCCACTGGTTTTTGAATGTTGTGATAAATGGATGTAAATCTGACATTAGAAAATATCTGGAGATACGAGCAGTGACTCACGAAAGCTCCTCCCCTGCCACAAACGTTGTTAGTCTTTCAGGTGCTCCTGGACTCTTGCTCTTTTCTACTGCTAAAGTAAAGGTAAAGGTTCCCTTGCTCGAAATCCAGTCGAATCCGACTCTAGGGTTGCGGTGCTCATCTCCGTTTCAAAGCCGAAGAGCCAGCGCTGTCCGAAGACGTTTCCGTGGTCATGTGGCCGGCATGAC